ATCACATGTTTCACAACATAAAAAAGATCAACAGTCGATTTTGTCACAAAGTGATAAAATGAGTGTCCATTATGCTGCACGCGTAATTGAGAAACAAAGCATTTCATTGGTTGCATGTGACACTAATAAAAAATACTACTATCGTTATTATTATTACCAAAAAAAAATTATATTCATAATTATTGATTAAGATAAGATTCCATTGTACTTAGCCTCATTGTATTTATTGTTTTTAAACTGATATATCTATCAAGGGAATTAACCAGTTAGGAATTAAGGTTAGAAGTTTTAATGAACTAAAATCCTTGATTCATGTCTTATTTATAATAATTTTAACTACATAAACTTCTCTGTCCGCTTTTTGTTCTTTTGTTCTAATAATCTTTGTATCTATTAAAAAGAAAGAACTCTTTATTCTCCTGTCACTTAATATTGATAAAGTGAACAATTCTTTACTTGCCTGTTACAAAATAATTCTTTATCATCTCTTACTAATAATAAATTTAATTATTTATATCTTACAAAAAAATCAAAGGAAAACGTCGGTTGCATCATTTTCATTGGGCAATTATCACGTGAAAGACACGGACGTGCATTTTAGAGCAGTCATCACCGCACATTAATATATATCATTAACACATGATGACTTGGTAAGGCTGTTGAGGATTTATTTCTTCAAATTATGTGAATCCTTTATCAACAATCGAGACCTAAGGCCTTCAAAAAGTCAGTGTTGGCAAATGACTGGTCATATGACATATGATTTACATGATTTGTCATAAGTCATTTGGTCATTCATAAAGGGTATATGACTTATGGCATTGCATATTTTTTGGCCAATCAAAAAAAGAATTCCAACTTTTATTTTATCATTGCAAAATTCAATGATTATGATAATTATTGATTACCACTTGTAAAAAAATATGGTAATGGTTCTAAATCATCAACAAAAATACATGACAATTCTCATTTTAAGTTGACATTATCTGCTGGGTGAATATTATTTATTTCCACCAAAAAATCATTATCAAATCTTCTTCAAGTAAACTTTCATCACTATGATTTTCTAATTGGTTTTCTTGATTTGCTTCATCTCTCCAATGAGCAACAATTATATTCCATTGATTCACATTTTTATCAGAATTAGAATTCACTGATTCATTGTCGTTCTCCAAAAAATCATCATCATTTGTTTCATGATTTTCATTTACAAATAAATCCTCTTCATCAATAATTTGTACATCATCATTATCATTTTCATCAAAATGATCAAGGATAGTTGGTTTTGGAATATGAAATGGCTTTATTTGTCTATCAGTTTGATTATCTTTATTAATTTGATGTTGGTACAAAATATTGCTATGAATCTGACTCATTGCCAGGACTTTATTATGCTATAAAATAAAATTTAATTAAAGCAACTCTTTTATATACTAAATTCATTAAATAAAATACATACTGATAATCAGTTTCTCCTATTAGTATGAAAATATCCTATTGAGGGTCATAATCATTCTACTGAGGCTGAATTTACACAAACAGCATGAATACAAATAGCACTTTTGCTAATTCAGGCCCCAACTCCAATTGTTGACTCCAAAAAATTCAAAACATTTGCATTAAATTGCAAAAAAGAATCATATGGATCATTCCCCATTCTATAATCAATCAATTCTGCTAAAATACTAGTTGCTAGTTTTCCACAAAAGGCATGATAATAATACTTCAGCCACTGACCAACATGTGTCCATGATAAATTGTTTATAATTGGTCTAAATTTTGACAATTTATAAGAAAGATGAAGAATAATGGAAAGCAACAAAATTGGTTGTTCTGAACCCTTCCACCTCTTTTCAATCCTAGAGATCATTTTTTCAGAAAAGTCCAAATCATGATGCATAGAAAAATTGCATAATGTATATGCAAAGCAATGGACCACTCATAAAGTCTTGCAGCATCTTTTTGTAATTGATTGAGAAAACAACACAAAGGATATAATGGATTTTGTAATGAAAATAGCTTTGTTCACAGAGTATGTAAACAGATTCGAGGCAGAGTACATCCTAAAACCAAGGCAATAACTTTAATCAAAGGATTTGATGTATCAGAAACTGGTATTCTGTCAGTATCAGAGACAATTAAAGACAAACTTTGTATACCAGTTTGTACATTGAGTGGAGCTAATATTGCTAATAAAATAGCTGCACAGAATTTTTCAGATATATACAACAATTTGGGTATTCCATTCTTGAGGAAGGGCAAATATTTCAAAAAATATTTGAAGCAGTTTATTTTTGAGTTGGTATAATTAAGGACGTTACTGGAGTGGAATTGTATGGAGCATTGAAAATGTTATTGTGATAGGAGCAGGAATAGTTGATGGATTGAAAAGGGGTGAGAATACAAAGATGACAATAATTAGAGTGGAATTTTTGGAGATGAAGAAGTTTATTCAAATGTTTTATCATGGTGTTAAAGAAGAAACATTTTCTGAGTTGTGGAATTGCCAATGTGATTGCTACTTGTTATGGAGACAGATTTGCTGAGGCTTATGTTTTTAACCAGGAAGGTGAGATTTTTTTTTCTTGAGTGATGATTGATTAATTATTGCATGACTAAATAAACAAATGAAAGATTTTGTAAACGTTCAAATAATTATCATAGTTATTTAAAAATGTATTTAACAATGTTAATGAACTGATAATTTTATTGTTGTAAAATTATATAAAAGTTATCTTTGTTTGAATTTTACTTTAAATAATAAAAATAAAAATACAATTCTTAAAATATAAATATAAATCATAAGAAAATAAATACATAGGTAAACTCGATAAGTCGGATTTGGCTTAACTCGGACAAAATTTTTCAGCCCTTTTTTTCAATAATTAAAATCTCTTGATAAGTCGGACAACATATATAAACCTTGTTAAGCTGTAAGTCGGACGACTTCACCAGCCAGGTATAATAAATTACTCTCGATAAGTCGAAACACGTGATTTTTTGATAGACAATCTTTACTATTTTTAGTAGCATATACAAATTATTCATCATTTTCGTCATTTTCGTCATTATTTATTTTTGATGATTTAGAAATAACATTCTTGTTTGTATCGCAAACAATATATTCATAACTTATATCCATCGATTGTATCATTTATTATCTCACTGATGATTTAGAAAGAATATTCTTGTTTGTATCATATGCAATATGTTTATATCAGACCCAGACACTTTACCAACACCCACTTTACTGACAAGACACTTTAGCAACAACACATGACGTGATATTTTAGCATTTTGTTAGTTTGTTTGATTGTGTAGAGATTAAATGTAACCTGTGTGTTGTCGGTAAAGTGTCTTGTCAGTAAAGTGGGTGTTGGTAAAGTGTCCCAGACCTGTTTATATTTATTAT